GATGCTCTGTTCCTCTTAGCAACTTCTTGGCTCTCCTCTGGACCTGCTCCAGCAATTCCATGTCCTTCTTGGGGGCACCAGAACTTACAGGGGTGGTACCAGTGGTTAACAGAACTTACAGTGGCTGAGATACCAACCACTTCTTTATATAAAAAAAAGTGGTTTCAGGTCTTTGTTGTCACTTCAACCTTTTCTACAGTAGTCTTTAAAAAAATCCTGTCTTTTTTAATTTCCAGCACTGCCCAGGGCAGGCTGGACTCAGCAGCACTTTGCTCCCAGCCAGGTTCAGGTGCTGTGGATCCAGCTGGAGGATCTCACCCATCACTACTGGAGCTCCAGAGAGGAAGGAGAGCCTCAGCTGTCCCTGCTCCCTTGGAAAACTCTGCCTCAGCCATGTTTTCACAGCACTTAATCCCAACAAATGTAACAAATGTAGTGTTTATACAAAATCAACAAGTTCATCTTAGTCAGGAGTGGCTCTCACTCTCCTGTGAAATACAACTTTCTTTTTGTAACTTTCATCTTCCCATTCTGGTCTTTTTCCCATCTCCTTCTTGCATCTCACCCAAAGCAGCTCTAAGGGAGCAATTCCTACAGACCTGAGCCACAAAACCTCCCAGCAAGTTATGTCCTAAGCGTGCCACTCTAAGGACTAACAGGTTAGGGCTGCTACTCTTCATTCCTGCACATTGCCCTTCTCATTTCCACCTGCATATTGTATTCTTTACTTACTTCTGCTTCCCTGTGAGTGAGGCACAGAGAAGCTGTGGCTGCCCCTGGATCCCTGCAAGTGTCCAAAGCCAGGTTGGACATTGGTTCTTGGAGCAGCTGGGATAATGAAGGTCCCTGCCCATGGCAAGGGAGTGGGACTGGATGAGCTTTAAGGTCCCTTTCAACCTAAACCATTCTGTGATTTTTTTTTATTATTATTTCTGCATAGCTGCCCTTCATCTTCCCATGACCATTTGATATTATATCTAAATTCAAAGTATTCCTTTGCTTTATACACCTATGAACAAACTGTGGAGCAAGTGAATAAAGAGTTCAGCTTTCTTTAGCCAATCCTTAGAATAAGCTGTATTAAAAGCAAAGCCTACTCACCTAAAATGTAACAAAACATCTCTCTGTCATTCTAGACAGAAACAAAAATAAAATAATCTCATGCTGGTGTGTTCAGACAGCATGTAATACCTGCAAGGCATTGTCATAACTACCACAATTTGACCACAAAACAGATTTCAATAGATACTGTGGTTCTAATTCATATGTAACAAGAAGAAAAGTGTTAAGGGATAAAAAAAATCATAGTTTTTGAAACAGTAGGTGTAAAAAACTAATAGGTGAGGATGAAGACAATTTTTGGCAGCAGGAAAAAAAAAAGCAGGGGGGAACTGCAGGAACAAAAGAAATAAATCTCAGCTGTCACACAGGTGTGGTGCTAAACAGGGACTCTGAGCTACACCAATAGTGCAAAAGGGCAGATGCATTCAAAAAGTAATTCTGCATGTGCAAAGAAGCTGATGATTCCCTGGTACCCCATGAGAATATTAATTACTTTTCCATCTCATCGTAAGTACCATGTGAAAAGAGTGTTACTTTGCAGTAAATATTTTTGGTCAGCAGGACCAAAGATCACCATGGAGAAGCACTCCCAGAAGAGTCCAAGGAGTTCTCTGTCCTACCAGCACAGATTTTTAGGAATTCTGAAAATCCTGGGGTGATTCCAGCAGTCTGAATGAACACTTAGGTTACAAATATGCTGTGGCTGTCACCATAGGAAGGTTGTTCTAAACAAAACAATAATTAAAGAGAAGTTATGGGGGACTCAACTGATACCTCAGAGCTCTCTGTAACAAATAATAGGAAGTAAAATAATGAAAGCTGACTTACTAAAAAGATTGTGATTTAATTCCTTGATATGACTGATACTTCCAATTGGCAGAAATATCTGTCTGCCTGTATAAACTTCTCTGGCATTAGTGCAGTGTTCTGTGAGAGCCTGACAACCAAACAGAACCAATTAAACTGGTGAAGAACTGGTTAAGTGACATCTCAGAAAGAAAAAAGAGCAGCTTTTGAGAAGAACTCATCACAACATAACTCACATGATCATGGAGCTGCCCAAAGGAGAGCCACTACCACAAAACACCTTTTCAACTATTTGTAAGTCTACACCATAAATCATGACATAATTTGCACAAGTATAAATTGATAGAGTGCTACATAACTGAGATAAATCAGTTCCAAAAAGCCATCAGGAGTGTTGGGTATAATCAATCAATGCTAGAAACAAAGTGTTGCTTTAAAAAGCCGAGTACAAAGTTGTAAAGCTGTAGTCAGGAAAGCGCGTGCCAGTCTAGGGAATGATGAACTCTTGTGGAAAGAAACAGTCCTGCAAAGGGTTTGCCACAGTGAGAGTACCCAGAGAAAAGGAGATCAAAATGCAAGGCTGCAAAGGAAGGTTTAATATGTAAATGTGATGCAGAAGCAGGAGAGTAACACCAGAGAGGTAATATTTAAACACACAAAACACTCCTGAGACAAAGCTCTGGTGTGCTGCATCCAGCTCACGTTTTCGTAAAAATGCTGAAAAAGTGGATTTGGAAAAAACAATCCCCAGAAACTGAGTTGTGAGGAAAATGCATGCAGTGACAAATTTAAAGAATTTCAGCTCACTTGGTTTTTCAAGCAGAAAAGAGAGGGAATACTGGGTTACAGCAGATAAATACTTCCATGGTAAGAAAATACTTTGAGTTCTTTAGCACAGTGGAGAAAGGCACATCATTAACCAGTGACTGGAAGCTGAAGCCAAATAACTTAATAAACAGCAGATTCTCTACCTCTCACTGTCTCCCGATCAAAATTCCAATTTTTCTGGAAAACGTTTCAGCCAAATGCACGTTATTGCATTCAAGAGTAACTGGGTGAAATCCAACTGACTCCAACAGTCAGGGGTCAGAGCAGGAGATCTAATTGCTTCCTTTGGCTTCCAAGCCTCAGTCTACAAATACTCCTGGTTTTCAGTGCTTCAAAGGCATTTCAGTACTACCATGCATGCTCAACATTAATATTAAAAGAGCTCTCAGCAAATCTGCATGAATTACAGTTGTATTTCCATGTAAGGGCTCGAGTGACACTGGAGCTTTCCTGTTGAGGCTTCTGTCACCAGCAGAGCCCATTAATGGAATTACAGCTCCCTGGTACCCAGCTGAGGTGGTATTTCTGTAAACAAGCATTTACACAATTGAGTGCAGAACTTCACCCTTCATGTCAGTACTTTCTCTCCTCTAGAAAGAATCCCGTTTGACCTGGAGTATGAAAAGGCTGATACAATGCATTGTATCAATCACAGGCACTACAGGTAAGAAAGGAAAACCAGCAGCATTGTAATAGCCACAAAGCCAGGAAAATCTGGTGTGCACATCAGCAGCATCCTTTGAGCCTGCCCCTGTTTATGCTCCTCATCCACCTGGCACTCCAAAACACACACAGCACTCCCAGCAGTCTTGACAAATCCAACATTTTCCAGGAATACATGCCAAGGTAATGTACAACATACACGTTAAATGTCCAGGCTCACAGAGTTGTGCTGTAGCATCAGCTGCTGTGGTATCTGTCAATTTCTAAAACAACAAGGGAGCTGAAACGTTTCTATCCTGCTGAAGAATGAACTAACTTCAAATTCAGCAAGCAGAAGTTTCAAAAGGCTGGAATTGTCCGAAGCACGCCTGCAACCAAATCAATGCTCCACAGGAGAGAGACACAACCACCAAAGTGACAGAGAAAAAAGAACCTTAGAAGAACCCAGGCATAACACACAGCCAGCGAGACACCAGGGAGGGCACTCACCCCTCCATCCTCCAGAGGAGGGAGTGCCTGTTAAAACCCACTGTAAATATGTATAAAAGTTTCTTTCCCGAAGCCCTGGCACTCGGGTATCCCGCCGAGCATCCCCAACGCCACCTCCCAGGTGGGCACGGCAGCCAGGCAAGCCTGGCACTCCCCATCACCACCACCATGGCCGAGGAAAAAACTTCTCCCAGCCCAAGGAGCCCCGCAAGGAGACACTTGGGCTGCCGTCGCTTGCCAGCCAGCATCCCCACGGCTCCTCGCAAAGACAAAGCCACGCTTTAAACTTTCGCTCCTCGCCAGCGGAGCGGATCTTCTGCTGGGAGCTGGCACCTCTCGGGATGTGCAGCGGGGGCTCGGGAAGGTCTCAGAGCCCGGGAGAGGCCTGGAGGGAAGGGATGGGGATGGAGATGGAGGAGGTGCCCGCAGCCCCCTCCCCGCTGCCCGCGACCCTTCCCCGCACACAATCGGAGCAGCGGCGACCGCAGAGCGCAGGGACGCACAGGGCGATGGATAAAAGGGAGGAAGGAGCGTCTAACGCCCGAAGAAAGGAGAATAATTTCAAACAATACCCATAAAAAAAAAAAAAAAAAAGACTTAAGATAATACGGAGCCAGGTTTCACCTCGAAGTGATGGCGGGTAAATAGATGAATAAGTGGAACAACACACCTCTGACCCTCTCTTTTCTTCCCTAAATATAATCCCCTTCTTCCCATAATACACGCACCACCAAATGACCATTAATTCAAATCTATTCTTTACAGGAGGGGGGGATTATCTCTGTGACCGACTCTGTCTCTTTCCCTCTCCCGGTCTTTCACTGCGCGAGAATTGAAATTGCATTAAAAAAAAAAAAAAAAAAAGGAAAACCGGAGGGGGGGTGGGGGGGAAGGCAAGATTATTATATCTGGAGGGTGCGAAATGTGGGCACGGGGAGAGGGAGCCTGGGGGATGGGGAGGAGTAGAGAAAGGTGGCTAAGGAGAGAAGAAAGGAAAGGAGGACTAGGAAGCGCAGGGAAGGATGAGGGGAAGGCGAGATAAGGGGGAAGGAGGATAAGGAAAGAAGGATGAAAGGAAGGAGGTCGGGAGGAAGGATGAAAGGGAGGAAGGGATGAGGGGAAGAAAGGAGGATGCTTTGCCCTGGCCTCACCTCAGCTCGGTGGGTGGGGGTGGGAGAATCTCTCGCCGCCGCCGCCGCCGCCTCCTCCTCCGCCACCTCCTCCTCCTCCCCAGCAGCGCCGGTCACTGACGGGCCGGGTGTGCGGCGCGGCTCCCTCGCCCGGTCCCCGCCTCCCCGCTCGCCTCGCTCCCTCCTCCCGCCGCCGGCCCGAGCCGCGCTCGCTCGGCTCTGAGGGGAGCCGGGCGCTGCCGCCGCGGCCGCCCCGCCACAGCCACGGGGGGAGGAGGCGGCAGCGCGCCTGCGCCGCCGGGCGCTGCCGACGAGGGAGGGAGGGATGGACCCGCCGCTTTCCCGGCTCCGGGGCCGGCCGTGAGTATGGAGCGGGCACGGCTGCGCCAGGTGCGGGGCTGAGAGCGGGGCACGGGCGCTGCGGGAGCGGGAGACGCGGCCCCGGTGCGGGCGGTGCGGAGCGGGAGGCGCAGGAGCGGCGGGAGGCACGGGAGGGATGGAGAGGCTGTTTACGAGAGCGGGCTGTGACAGCACGAAGGGAATGGGTTCGCACTGAAAGAGAGGGCGTTTGGATTAGATAATAGGAATAAATCCCTCTGTACTAGGGCGGTGAGGCCCTGGCACAGGTTGCCTAGGGAAGCTGCGGGCGCTCCATCCCTGGAAGTGCCCAAGGCCGGGTTGGACCGGCTTGCAGCGAGCTGGCACAGTGGGAGCTGTCCCTGCCCAAGGCAGGGATGGATCGAGATGGGCTCCGGGGTGCCCTTCCAGCCCAAACCAGCCCGAGATTCTCTGCAGGCAGTGCCGGCAGCGGGGGCTCTCCGGGCACAGCCGGGTGGCCCGGGAGCAGCGCCGGGAGCAGCAGGGCTGGGACGAGGAGCTGGAGACGCTCTCTGGGTGCGCCCCCGTCATGGCCCGAGCGCTGCCTCAGGCGCCTCGCAGGGGAAGGAAGAGCGGTGGGGTATGGATGGACCGTCAGGACTGATGGCAGGAGCCTCGGTTCCCCTGTTCTGTTCAACTGCAGAAACTCTGTGTGTGTCCTTTCTTCCTTGGGTGTTCGGCAGCCCTACCTGGCAGGAGGGTGTAGGGTCCCAGGGAGCCAGCGACAGGATGACAGGTCACAGCCTTAAGCTCCTCCAGGGGACCTTCAGGTTGGACTTTAGGAGGGATTTCTTCACGGAAGGGGTGGTTAGACATTGGGATGGGCTGTCCAGGGAGGTGATGGAGTCACCATCCCTGGAGGTGTTTGAGGAAAGACTGGACGTGGCACTCGGTGATGTTGGGTCGTTGGTTCGACTCAATAATCTTGGAGGTCTTTTCCAACCTAATTGATTCTGTGATTTGCTGATTCTGTGCACCAAACACCAGGCTTTGGTCCTCTCTGCAAAGCCTTGCACTTTCATTTCCCTCTTACTCATCCTACCAACCTTATTTTTTCTTTTTCACTACGCTGGCAGCACCTTCTGCTGTCTCTCTTGGCCAGAACGTGCTGCCACCATCCTGCTCCAAACCCCAGGTGTGGAGGAAGATCCCTGTGGAGCGTGGGTATCACCAGGGGATTTTGCCATTCCCATGCAGATCCCACTGACGTGCTGTCGTTCCAGGCATCCTTTGCACCTCTTGTGGCATCCATCTGCTTCCCTGGCTTCTACAGAAACTCACAGGCACCAAGGAGGGGAGGGGGAGGAGTCCTCCCATGCTTTTACCTTTGCTTGACAGTTTTAGGCTTGCAGGGATCTTGCCAAAACAATTTCCCTGCCTCAGCCTCTATGGGAATGATGCTAGTGGTACAGGTGACTGATGGGCCTCAAGTAGAGGCAGCAGTTTCCAGTCTTTTTCTTCTCTTTTCCCATATAAAAATACAGTCAGGATCTATATTCATTCTTACAGGGAATAAGTGAGGAGTGGAGCTGCATAGGAACCTTCTCTCAGGGACTGAAGCTGGGGAAAAAATTTCTTAGGCAAGAACTCATTTAAATATGAATTTAAATGTGACCAGATGCTGCATGGCACATACTTGGTGCAGCCATGTAGCTGGAAGTAGTCACAGTCAGTAGTGTACAGAAATACATGAAATTATTATAATCTCACAGTGTCAGGTGTGAGCAGAGGCTTTATAATGAGATGCAAATTCTTGGTGCAAGGCAAACTGGGGGTTTAGTTTGTGCTTTAATAGGTTTGCAGGTGGCACCAAATTCCTTTTCTAGGTACTGTTGTCCTTCCCACCCTGTTAAATGGATCTGTGATGTGAGGAAACTGTTACCTACTGACCTTCTGTTTCTTGCCTATATTTTTGTAATCCAAATGTTTTTGGATTGCTTGTTGTTCTAGGTAGGGGCAGTGCCTTCCTTTGGATCTGGCTGATGTATTGTGAATATTAATGGCAACAAGGAAAGTTCCCAAACAGAACATGGTAAATTACCTACTGCTTTCTCACCCTGCATTACTTTGCTAATTGAATGTCAGCTAAATGTTCCTTCAGGCATCTGACTGAAATGAGCATGAGCTATAGTGTACGTGTAAGACCACAAATAATAAATCAGCATGATTATGAAAAATAGTATTTCTCCCCTTCACCAGTAGCAAGACTTCAAATGCATCTCTTGTAAATTTAAACCTAAGGATTCATTCAGCTGGTTTGGTATGTTTTGGTTTAAAGTGTGTCACTTTCAGAAATAAATGAGGTTACTTACCTGGTCCAGATCACTTTTATCTGAGACAGAAGACATGGATTGCTGGACATGTTGCTAAGAGATCTCCCAGAATTCCATGAAGAAATCTGAAGATCTGGAAGAGCTCTGTGAACTTACTTTTCCATGGTCCTGAAGGAAGCTCTGTCATTTCTTTCTTTCCTTTAGGTTATTGAGTGATTTTTGAAATCACTCTTATTTTTATCACTGTCCCAAAGAAAAAGAAGAAAACTGAATTTGATGCCACTAAAAGAAAGAAATCACTCTTATTTTTATCACTGTCTCAAAGAAAAAGAAGAAAACTGAATTTGATGCCACGAAAAACTTTGTTTACTAAAAACTGAGGTAAGCTGCTAAGCTGCTTAGTGAGTGAATGTAGCCCACACCAGCCAGGGGACAGCTCCAAACAAATGCTCTTGACTCCATGACATCTCCCACTGCCAACATCCAGCCATGGAGAGAGAAGAAACATCACCAAACCAGTGGAGATATTGGGCACTTGGACTAGCAAGACAAAAGGACTGTTCTGCTTGAGGGAAATATGCATGGATGGGTTTTTTTTGCTTTTTTTTTAGTTGTGTATCAACTGTGGAGCTGCCTGTCATGATCTAGAACCCAGTTATTAAGCGGGTTTTGTGCAAGATGAGCCCCCCTGGCTGTGCCCATTGACCTCCTAAAGGTGGAGCAGCCCTCAGATCTGGAAAGGCCATCAGGGCAGGAGTGGGATCATGGATTGAACTCTGTGAGGACAGAGGGACCAAGCAGAAGGAGGATGCACAGAATTTGTGGTGTCTTGTGAGCTCTGGGGCCAGTTCACAGGATTTACACGGCAGGATGAGCGCTGGGGTTCTCTGAGTGCGTTCCTCTGGGAAGAACCCAAAGCTGTGTGCTCCCTGGGATAACAAGGAAAGGAAATCAAGGGGAGTTTGAGTTTCTCTGCTCAAGGAACTCTGCTTTGCTAAATGTGGCTTTCCAGGCAGATTGCTGGTTCCAGGGTATCTATCACACAGCAAATTTCAGCACGCAGCAGTCTGGTTTCCAAATGTTAATCTATAGTTTGCTGATGCCCAGACAGATCTGAACTTGACTTTCTGAATCATCTTTGGAATTTTTTTTTTCTTTAATAACAATATTAGAAAGGAGGGACCTTGACATGATGTAGTGTAGTGTAAATAATTTTCTTCTGCCTACCATTAAACTCCAGCAAATACAGATTTTCTCCATAAAATTACACGTGACATGTGTTCTCTGACAAAGTTACTTTGATAGTGAGGACAACAGCCTAAAACTTTAATCTTTTCCAGCATGCCAGAAGGATTTACATTGAGGATAGATCTAAAATTAAACTGAACATGTTTATAAATATAATCACTATATTATTTCTTCATGCTAATTCTAGCTTTTTGTCTTTTTTTTTTAAATGTAACAATCAGTTACATTTTAAAAAAAAATCTCTTTTTTCCCTTACAACTGGCTTACCTGGACATTTATCTTTTTCTATAATATCTGTCACATAATTTATCTCTTTTTTCTTTTTTTCCTCTGTTTTCTTGTATTTTCCTTGCATCTAAGTACTGTACAATATCAGCTTCTTCAGTTAGACTAAATATTTGACGTGTTTTCAGTCTTACAATAGCTTAGTCTGCTTCTTGAAGCATTACAAACTGTGTTTTTATCTCTACATCTCACTCTTGGGAGAATACCACAGCAGGAATTTCCCCCCTTTCCCCAGCATAAAGTCTCAGCATTGTGTCTGTGTACACATAAAAAAACCCTCCACACCTTTTACTCATCTTTTCTGTTGTAGAACTTTCTTCTGCGCCAAGAGAGATCATTGCTGAAAACCATTTTGATTGTTTGCTTCAAGAACTTTTCTGAGTTCTTGCATCTTCTGTTATTATCTCAATACCTCTGTGTCAAAATGGGCTTTCTTCACCACCTGATCCTGAATGCCTTTTCCTATTCGTACAGCATTTGTTGCTTTAGTGAAAAAGAGAATTTTGGAGAACAGGGAAGCTAAGACTAGTGAGGGCTTTTAAGGAAAATAATCATTTAAATGATCTTTAAGTGAGAGAAATTGAGGAGAATCTATCTCACAGGCAATTCAGACTGAAAGCTGCAGGTGGAACTTGGAATACTTGAAGCTTCTTTTAGGCCCAGTGATGTTTAAAGACAAACCAACTTGCTTTAATGCAGATAATTGGCTACCTGTACTGAAGGCAGATTGTCAGCAGCTCCCAAAAGGTCTTTCAGTGCCTTGTATAATAATAAGACATTTCTTTTTGGACTTAACTGTGTGGAGATAAATAACCAGGGATTGAGTAACATCACTCCCTGTCCCTGAACACATTTGATTATCTGAATTTCA